TAGGCATGAAAGCTGATTGGGTGACTTTAGGCCAATCATCAGGAGCATGAGAGTTCTAGCCTCATCATAGGCATGAAAGCTGGCTGGGTATCTTTGAGCATCTGGATATCTTAGAAGGATGGAGTATTAGGTGTATCACTTTGCACTATCGGATCCGGGAAAGGAGCAATCCTTACGCACCACAGATCCTCCAGTTTGATGAACGAGTGAAACGTGGAGAAGAGATCACAGAAGACGAAGTTGAGAGGTGAGGACAACCAGAAGGAGAGGGTTGCAGAGTCATGCCATGTGTGAATAAGACAGGGAAACCAAGTTTCTAATTCTCCCTCAACCAAAGGAACTCCATGAGAGACTTGACCTGAGTCCCCCCTCCCCCCCGCTTCTCAGCCCATCCTATCTTGCAATAATGTTGTTAGAAGCAGAACATGTTACAAGGACCCCACATAGGACCTTCTGAGTGAAAGGCGGACTATGCATCTAATGCAGGTAATCCTCGACTTATGACCACAATTGAGCCCAACATTTGCATTGCTAACCACGTTAAGTGAATCAAGCTCCATTTTATGACTTCTTTTTTGCCACAATTGAGCAAATCAGTTAAGTGAATCATGTAGTTGTTAAGTGAATCTGATTTCCTCCATTGACTTTGCTTGTCACTAGCAGGGTTGCAAATGACAATTCCCCCTATTTATGATGGCTGCAGTGTCTCGGGGTCACAGGTTGCCCTTTGCAACTTTCCCTGCTGGCTTCCGACAACCAATTGGGGAGGAGGGTAGCTCGATTTGCTTAACAACTTGCAGTGATTCACTTAACAACCTTGTCAAATAACGTCATAAAAACCAGACGTGACTCATTGAATTGCCTTTCTGGTCGTAATTACAAATAAAGAATAACAAATTTGGAAAGGACCTTGGAGGTCTTCTAGTCCTGCTCAGTCAAGAAAAACGTTACCATTTCAGACAAATGGCTGCCCAATCGCTTCTTAAAAGCATCCAGTATTGGAGCATTGACAACTTCTGGAGGCAAGTCCTTCCACTGATTAATTGTTCTGTCAGTTACAACAAGTGTGGTTGTACAATTGTAGTTGTAGTTCTAGGACTACCTGTACATAAAGAGAAATAAACCGCAGCATATAATAACTCTTCTCCGGTCCTGTGTCCTCTTGCCTTGAACAGTGGGGAAGGGTAGATTAATTTCCCTTTTCTCAGAATCTCATTTTAATTTTAAATCAAGTTTCTAGCCCCTGGTTGGAATTGTGCGGGAAAACCACTGAGAGCTGAGAGAACCACTTAAAAAATAAGGGATTTCTTTTGTGGGCTGACAGGTACAAAAGACTGCTGAAAAAGGCACGAAGCTATGAACTGGTATGCCACAATGTCATTCTTTGCACATGCTCTGCCTCTTCGTCCAACTTCCTTTCAGAGCAGACAAACATCGAACAGCTTCTAATCGACGAGTGTGCCATGTGCACGGAGCCTGAAACGCTCATCCCATTGGTGAAATGCAAGAGGCTCGAGAAGGTGAGCTGATGGGGTGGGCCTCCAAAGTACAGGCAGTCCTCGACGTCCGACTGCAATTGAGCCCAACATTTCCACTGCTAAGTGAGACCAGTGGTTCAGTGACTTTTGCCCCATTTTACAGCCTGTTTCTTTGCCATCGTTGTTAAGTGAATCACTGTTAAGTTAGTAAGTTCTTCAGTGATTCTTGCTTCCCCATTGACTTTGCTTGTCAGAAGGTCACAAAAGGGGATCACATGACCCTGTGATACTGAAACTGCCATAAATGTGAGCCAGTTGCCAAGTGCAAAAACTTTGATCACATGACCGTGGGGATGCTGCAAAAAAAATTGTTGCTAAGCAAGGCAGTTGTTAAGTGAGTTTTGCCCCATTTTACAACTTTTTTCTGTTAATGGTTAAGCAAATCCCTGCAGTCATTAAGTGAGTCATGCAGTTGTTAAGTGACCCATTGACTTTGCTTGCCAGAAGTTTGCAAAAAGTGATCACATGATCCTTTGACACTCCAACCATCATAAAAATGAGCCAATGTCTGACTCAAACGCGCGACCATGAGGATGCTGTAACAGTCGTTAAGTGTGGAAAATGGTCATAAACCACTTTGTCTAGTTCTGTTGTAACTTTGAAAGTTCACCTACTGTTCCTGGTTCTTGCACCTTGTTGAACGGCACATCTGGCTGGGGAATTCTGGGAGCTGAAGTCCACAAGTCTTAAAAGTTGCCAAGGTTGGGCACCTTTGCTATAAGGGATTAGGAAGAGGAGGGTGGTTGATTCTGAGAACTTCTGGTCTCCTTGCAGGTTGTCTTGTTAGGAGACCATATGCAGCTGAGACCCGTGGTCCAGAGTGACTTCTGCAAGAAACTTGGGATGGAGAAGTCTCTCTTTGAGCGCTACTACAAACAGGCTTTGATGCTCAACATCCAGTATCGCATGGTAAGAATTTCTCTGGCAGGAAGTACAACATAATGCTGTCCTAGAAACCAGGAGACAGTGAGCTCTAGGCACTAAAGCCCACTGTGTGATTAGGCCGATCACCAGGAGACAGTGAGTTCTAGTCCCTCTTAGGCACTAAAGCCAACTACATGACTTTAGGCTGATCACCAGGAGACAGTGAGTTCTAGTCCCTCTTAGGCACTAAAGCCAACTACATGACTTTAGGCTGATCACCAGGAGACAGTGAGTTCTAGTCCCGCCTTAGGCACAAAAGCACACTGTGTGACTTTACATCAATCACTAGGAGACAGTGAGTTCTAGTCCCATCTTAGGAACTAAAGCCCACTGTGTGACTTACGCCAATCACCAGGAGACAGTGAGTTCTAGTCCTGTCTTAGGCACTAAAGCCCACTGTGTGACTAGGCCGATCACCAGGAGACGGTGAGTTCTAGTCCTGCCTTAGGTGTGAAATCTAGCTGGGTGACTTTGGGCCAATCATTTTCTCTCAGCCCAAACCATCTCATAGGGTTGTTTATATGTATGTTTGCTGCCTTGAGTTGTTTATAAACTTAATAAAGGCAGGATATAAAAATAACTAAATACATAATTGAAAATAATAATATTTGAAGTTATATAAATGAACAGAACAGCACCAGTGATCTAAGCTCCTTGCATGAAATAAGCATCTTTTAACTCTTCAGCACAAGGACATCTGCCAGTTCCCATCCAGGACCTTTTACAACAATAAACTGATGACCAGTCCCAGTATCACTCGTGGAAGCAGCACACTCTACTACCGTAGCGAATTTGAGTGTACCCCCATCATCTTTGGCCACATCGAAGGAAGAGAGATTTCCCTCGTGGTCTCCACGGAAGAAGGGAACGAGAACTCCAAGGCCAATCTGGAGGAAGTTCAGCAGGTGGTGAGTAAGCCTGAAGTACAGGTAGTCCTCGACTTACGACCACAATTGAGCCCCAAATTTCTGTGGCTAAATGAGACAGTTATTAAGTAAATTTTGCCCCATTTTACTATCTTGTAAGTGAATCACTGCAGTTGTTAAATGAGTAAAAATGATTTTTAACTGAGTCCGTTGACTTGGCTTGCCCACTGTCCGAATTTTGATTACGGGGCCATGGAGATTCTGCAATGGTTGTAAGCGTGAAAAAAAATGGGAATGCCAGTTTTTTTTCCAGTATTGTAATTTTGAAAGTTCACTAAATGAACTGTTGTAAGTCGGGGACTATCTGTAGAAGTTTATTTATTTATTATTAATGTTTTATGCCAGACCATTTCCCTTATAAGGTAACTCTGGCCGGCTTATGGATCAGTTCTGTGGGCTGGAGTTCAATCCTTGGTGACTTCTGAGTTTTCTAGATCATAGCCGAGAACAAGGTCTCTCCAAGGGAAAATCACCTTCAAAAGACTAGGCTTTCATTAAGACAGGTGGGGGTGGGAGTTGGACTCGCAGCACATTGCTATAGCCCTTCCCAAATGTTTGATATCTTATTCAATGAAGAAATTACATTTATTATTGTGAGCTCCTTGGTGCTGTCTGAGCTTGATTATTTTTTACAGACGTTTCGTGATCCAACTGGGTAACATTATCAAAGCTAGAAGGGAGTGGGGTTTGTGGAGTCGAAAAGAAGAAGGGAAAGAGGAGGAGGACTGTGGAGTTCTTGGTGCTCTCTGAGCTTGGCTATTGTCTTTTAGACATTTCATGACCCAACTAGGTAACGTCATCAATGCCAGAAAGGAATTGGATTTGCTTCCATTCCGGATTCAATACAATGCAATACAATACAATAGCAGAATTGGAAGGGACCTTGGAGGTCTTCTAGTCCAACCCTCTGCCTAGACAGGAAACCCTATACCGTTTCAGACAAATGGCTATCCAACATCTTCTTAA